TTCGCTTTCACACGGGACACTCGCGAGGGAAAGGCCACTTCCGATGATGATCTTCCGAATCGCACGAATAAAGAATAAATGGATTAATGATTAATTGACTCGAAGAGGGATTTTTTCTTTTTTTTTTTTTTTTTGAGAAACAATTTGTCGATTGGAAAGTTTCTTTGTTACGTCTTTTTATTTACGGTTTTATTTTTGTATTTAAGGTTATTTGATTGTTAAGGTTTTAGATTTGGATTTGAGTTTAATCAGATTGAAAGGATGATTCGTCCATATTTCGATTTTCGACTCGATGTTATTATTGGACGGAGAGGAATTCTTCTGATAGTTGCATTATAATTTCGAGAAATAAAGGAAAGGGAGTGGAAAAACCTCTTCAATTTCAATGAATGAAACCATTTATCCTCATTTTCAACTTTAAATTTAATACTCGTCTATCCTATTTAAATCCTATTTAAACGAAAGTAATGAGAGCAAAAAAATAAATAAATAAAAATAAGAAAAATTTCAATAAGATATAACAATAGATTATTATATACAATATGAAGCAAAGAAGGGGATACGAATAAAAATATTCGAGGAAACTCTTCAATCTCGAAAGAACGAGCCATCCATCTTCGTTTCATCCTCAACTTCATATCCAACTTTATATCCATCAGAGCGGTAACATTCTCAACTTAACATCCAATTTTATACACATCAAGAAAAGAAAAAGAAAAACACGTAACGTAAAAATTCCACCAATGTCATCACAGGAATAAATAAAAGGATAAAATAAAAGTTGCCAATTCAACTTCAACTATCTATCAAAACGATCTATCAAAAATTCAAAACGATAACGCTCCCATAATGCACAAAGGAAAAGAATAAAAAGAATAACGTTTCAACGAAAATTTCAAAAGTACAAATATATTATATATATATATACGCAAGATAAAAAAGATAGAAAAAAAAAAAGATATTCAAACACAAAAAACTTTCGACTCTTGTCAAAGATACGAGACAGTGCATAAAGAATAATAAAAAAAAAAAAAAAGAAACCTGAACGCTTCGAGGGTTGATCCATCCATCGGCGTATTACGTCAATCTATGAGAGAGGGAGATCGAGATGTCGCGGGTTGTGCGGTGATATCGGGACGTGAATCGAAAAGAAACTTAATCCCAGGGTTGGCTGCGAATCCACGGGAAATATCGTTCGCCCGGTTCGATGGAGATCTGCGCATATTGGCCTCGTTTGCACGTTTCGTTTCGCCTCCCCTCCCCTTCCACGGAATTTGATCGTTATCCAGGTATTCGTCAGCGCCTCGGTTGGGGGCCGTATCTCCTCCAAGTGGCTTCCTAATTTTTCACGTCTCGAAATGGCAATCGACTAGAAGATTCGACTTTCGAAGAGTCCCTCTCCCTCCCTCCTTTGTGCGCCCCCGATATTTTCACGCCTCCTCCCCTAGATCATTTCCTTCCTGCGAACATTTCCTTTGTTTTATCTTATCTCCGACGGATAATTAATCTCTTATCTCCATTTTTCAACCTTGGATTTTAAATTTTTGGACTTCGAGGTTCTTTTTGAAATTGTCGATTTTTAATAATCTTCTTCGGGAATTCGATCAATCGGTTTCTTTTCAAAAGATTGAATTATTTTTTGGTATCGGGGATACTTTTGCCTTATTGCTCCTCTCTCTCTCTCTCGCGGTAATTTAAATCTTCCTAACTTTCTTCGGGTAGTTAGAAAGCTAGTGGTTTCAATTTACGTTCCGCTTAAGCAAGCATTCCGAGAATCCTAAGTAAATTCTTTCTAAAGCTAAGTCGTTTAAAAAAAATTAACGCTACGTTAGTGTCCCTTGAGTTTCTGTTCCATTATATAGAAATGTTATTTCTAAATTAATTACCAGTAGAAATTGTCAAAATTGAAATTGAGAAGAATTTTTTTTTAAAAATTGCCTTACAGCTTTTGGAATAATATCAAATTTGAAATTGAAACGCGATATAATTTCATAATTTCATCCGTTTCACAACTTCATAATTTAATTAGATTACAATTCTCCTACGATTCTACACGGATAATACTTGGACCGCCAGTTTAATCCTTTAATTGCGGGTGTGGTTTATTATAAATCACATGTTAATTTTTATATAAATATAGAGTTTGAAGAATAAAAATATTTTTCTAAATATTTTGATGAACAATTTATGACAATTATTGTCTCGGAATACAAACCAATAAATACTTTAAATACTTTAAATACTTTAAATACATTTGATGAACAACCATATTCTAAGAATATTATAATTTGATTTTAATAAAATATTTTTTTTTTCGTTTTTTTTGGAATTAGAGCGATCAACTGTGCTAAAAGCAAGCGGCAGATTAATAACGTACAATGAATATTTTGATAAAATTAATAACAAAGAAGAATTAAAGATCCGAAAATATTCTTGAATACTCTTCTGAACAATACAAAAAGATCGAATTATTATATTGGAGTAAATATTTTAATTTGGAAAAAAGTGAAACCGTCACGTTAATGGAAAGAATCGTATAATTTAATCCACGTCTCCTTTCAGGCAACATCGGTACTCCTTGAACGAATTTTCGCGAGAAGAAGGCATTGCGAAATTTTCGAATGTCAGAAGTGGGGAAGAAGTGACTTAAACGCGTTACCTTTAATACTTAAATTGTGCCTCCGAAATGAGACGCGTAACAGCGTGACGCCCTGGCTGACAGTGCTATTAAGAGCAATATCGTAGCTACCTGTCAGATCTGGGAATAAATGGAGCGGCGACGGAACTGCTGGAGCTGAAAACGAATTTCCGGATGCGACGCTAATCTTATCTCCGCCGAGGGAATTTACCTCGACAAACGTCCTCCTTTTCTTTTCGATATCTTTTGGATGCAAAAAAAAAAAGGAGGAGAAATTTTAATACAACCAGGAATATTTTATTATTGCTTTACTTTTTTTTTAAATCGATAAAAAGTAATCGAAAATTTACCATTATTATGAAAGTTCATAGATCACGATCGAAGAGGGAATTATTATATTTTTCTTTCAAAAATCTATCTTCCAACTATATTTTATTTTAGCAAAATAAAATTATTACAGGAGAGATCCTTTGACGAAGGAATAGAAAGAAGCTCGTTTAAATCCTTTCCAAAATCTCTTCTCGAATATACGGAATACGAGTCCTCCACTTTTTCTCTCGACGATGAGAGAGACGACACTGTTGAGAGACCTTCGATCCATTACATCGTCGTCGATTTAACAAGGATCGTAATGGCGACGCGAGGATGGCGGTGTGTTCTCAGAAACGTTTCGTCGATTTTTATCCTAAGGATTTTTCCCGCGCGGGATATGGAACGGATGTCACGTCCATCCACGTGATTTATAGCCTTTGCTATAACGAAACGTATTCGAACGAAACGTGTCGGTAAACAACGTGGAACGTTTGGTGAAAAATCGACCGAAAAGGGGGATTTATGTAAATATCGGATGAACCCCCTCGCCCCCCAATCCACTGTCACGTTTCTCTTTTATTTAGGTCGTGTGTATTTCTCGAATAAAATACCCGCTCGAATCTTCTTTGCTGCTCTGTTTACAAATCGTTGTTGATCGATTTGCTGTGAATTATCTCGGATGTATACCTCGTATATTATAAGTCATCGTCATTTTTCATCTTCTTCCTTCGAGTTATCGGTAATTATTTTCCGATTGGAAGAAATTTGGATTTAGATTGCTTAAAGTAAATTTTTTTTAGCAAACGTGAACAGACAATTATCTCAGTTATTTATTATATTTATTTATATTATTTATTATATTATTTATTTATGTATTTGTCTATTTATTATATAATAGGTGGAATTGTGAAATGAGGGTTTGAAAAAAATTTCCTTCGCTCTTAAATTTTACACGCGAATTCCTCTTGCTAGATTTAGCACCAAAAGTGATTGTAATATCGAAGAATTAAATTGACCATTAAAGTCATAAGTAAATTGTTTCGTTATTAAGTGGGATTCAAAGGGGGTACTTATTCAACGAGAGTACTCCAGGATTTTCATATTGTAAGAGTTATTATGTTACGGCTGCGGTCCAGGGATTGAACGGGATTATTGTCTTTTTCTTCCTCCCTCTGTTTCCGTTTCGTTCGAACATCTTCCTCCTTCCAATTCCTGAATTTCCAATAGAAGAGTGGAAATAATGGTTCAACATTAGTTATTGGATATTTTATTTTTCTAAAAAAAAAAAAAAAAAATTGTAAAAAGGATAACATCAAATTTAACTCATTCCAAATTAAAAATTCTCGAATCCATTATAACGATCCGCCATTGCGTTTCTAAATCAACGAAACAATTTTTTCATATTTTCCTTTCAAGTAGAAATATCTTTTATCAACTTTTTTAACTTGAATCAAAAGCCAAACAAATCGTTGGTTAAACTTTGCGAAACGTGCGAAGAAACGATCGATTCTCACATCCCCTCCTCCCCCTCCAGAGGCGAGGATCGACCTTTGACCAAAAACTCTTCGACAAACTTTTAATCCACTCAAGAGAGAATCCCGACAAAACGCGCTCGAAAACGAATCAATAATCCTCTATCACGTTCCATAAACTCTGAGCTCCAAGTCCCCGCGGGAGATTCTCGGGGAAGAAAGAAATCCGCAACCTCCACCCCCGAAACTTATCAACCATTCCTCCCTTTCGTCCATCCCTCCATCCATTCGACTCGTGCAAATAGAAACTCGAAACGTTGTTCCAAGGACATTTCCACCATAATTTCTCTTTCTTTCTTTCTTTCTTTCTTTCTTTCTTTCTTTCTTTCTTTCTTTCACAGACATTCAAACTTTTCGAATGTAAAAATTGGAAGGGAGGGGGGGAGAAAAGAGGGGAGCGGAAAGGTAAAAAGAAAGGGGAGGTTTAATGAAGCGACGCTTTAATTACGGAAAGGGGGTGGTTGTTGGTCACGAGGTTCTTCAACCCTTCTAATCGAGATTCTCTGTTTGGATTCCAGTGTTGACGGTGCCCGGGTACGATGTTAGGGTGAACAGATCGCCAGTGTTGGAGGGATGCAACGCGGTTTTATCTTGCACGGCGAGGGAGGACGTGAAGGAGCATCTGACGGTCACCTCCTGGTTCCGCGACGACGCCATACTTCTACCCGGTAGCACGGACACAGGTAAATTAATAATCTATATAATAATATTAAATTATTAATAGTGTAATAATTATTAATAGTAAATTAACAATCTATAATAATAATCTCGTTAATTAAAAAATATATTTAATATATTTCTTTCATTTCTCGAAATATAGATTCTAAGTAGAAATTTCTGGTTCCCCGTTTTTTAAATAAATTAGAAAAATTTTAAATTTTTCACAATTTTCGTATTTTTAAATAATTGTTAGCAAAGTTAGAAATTTCGTACGAGATTCGTGAAGAAGGACAGAAAAAAGAAAGCGATTTCTTTTGAAATTTTGGATAAGATATTTTAAATAAGTAGTTTATGGATGAGAAATCTTGCGATTAAATTTAATTTAAACTATTGCGATTTCCATGATCCGATCATCCTGTTATTCCTTCAATTAGAAGTTTGGAATACTAGTGGAATGGGACTAGTTTCAAAGATGTTGAAATGTTGGTATTAATTCTCTACTCGTCTAGTGTTAGACAATCGTTTCTTTAAAAAACACTTATTAATCGCTGGAAAGCAATACTTATTGATTAGATATTTATTATACGCAAGACACTCAAATTAATTATTTAACATATCTACGTAGATTCACGCATAACTGTACATCCTTATATTTTCAATATTCTTCTCTTCGTGGCACGAGTAAGAGATTAAAAATGAAACGAAATGATTAGAATGCCTGGCGGACGGGGCAATATTCTATAAAATATTTCATAAAATGGATGACAGCGTGCCATTCCCGAGATATTCCCCCTAAAAAACTAACCCCCTTTGAAGTGCACTCTTTCTCGTGAAATAGTCGACTTTAATTGCTGACAAACGGCACGCGTGTTTATTAATATTAAAAAAAAATATTACCGTCGAGATTTATGCTCGTTAAACGTCTGGAAACGATTTCGGAAAATTCTACTACGAGAATTGAACGCACCAAATCAAAGCCATCGTAATTTTCCCCCTCGATTCAAAAATATATTTTTGAAAACGATATATTTTTCATAAATTTCCGACAACAACGATCGAAAATCTAAATCCAAATCCTCAAGTACTTCAATCAATTTAAAATTATCGATTCCAAAATTGCATCTATCAATAATAATCCATTATCGTCTGTAAGATATAAAACGTAACCTTTATTTCGTGGCATGAATTTTTGAAACGCTTCAGACCCCGACAAAGCAGAAAAACATCCTCTTGGATACGATAAGGGTGCAATGGGCCTCTAGAGGGGATGCTCGATGATATTCGATTGGAGACGAATGGAGAGGGAGAGAGAGAGAGGAATGAAGGGACGAGCGAAAGGGGCGCCTAGGATAAAGTTGAAAAGACGGAGAGCGGAGAGTATTGGAATGGGGCGGAATATAACGCGGCGGCTAACTGCCGAGTTGTTTCGAAGTTGTTCGTTCGTGGTGGACGTGTTTCGAATCGGTGGGGAAGGGGTTGGTAAAGGGAGTTTGATAGTTTTTAAACGTTCTTCGTGCCTGAACTGGGAATAGAGACGGTGGATGATACCCGATGGATGGATTGATAGTGTTCGTTTGATTGCGTTGGACGATGTATATAAATATATTTCTGAAAGGAAACTTTGTTTAAAGGAAATTAGATTTACCTTGGATAATTTTGTAAAGTTTTTTTCTCTTCTCAATACATCAGATGATTTCTATAAAATATTAATATTAATATTATTTATTATTTAATCTCTTTCAATCTTTAAGGAAGTATCATTTAAACTCTGTTCTTTAATTCAACAATAATTCGAACGCCGTAAAAAAAAAGGAAACACACGCGTTCATTTTCAAACCGGAAGATCATCGTGTTCTTTCATTTCCAGTGTCCAGGTCGTGACTCTGTTTAAAAGAAATTAGATTTACTTTAAGTAATTTTCAATACATCAGATGATTGTGTTCTATAAAATATTAATATTTATTTGCAATTTTTATTATTTATTATTTAATCTCGTTCAATCTTCGAGAAAATTTAACAAAAGAGATACCTGTATTTCTTTAACGAATAAAAAAAGAGTTCGTTCTCTAATTGAACAATAATTCGAACGTCGAAAAAAAAAAAAAAGAAACACACACACATCTTCAAACCGGAAGAAGATCATCGTGTTCTTTCATTTCCACTGTCTTTCATAGTCACAACTCTGTTTAAAAGAAATTAAATTTACTTTAAGTAATTTTCAATACATTAGATGATTATGTGTTTTATAAAATATTAACATTTATTCGTGGTTTTTATTATTTATTATTTAATCTCGTTCAATCTTCGAGAAAATTTAGCAAAAGAGATACCTGTATTTCTTTAACGAATAAAAAAAGAGTTCGTTCTCTAATTGAACAATAATTCGAACGCCGTAGAAAAAAAAAAAGAAAACACAGCCATCTTCAAACCGGAAGAAGATCATCGTGTTCTTTCATTTTCACTGTCTTTCACAGTCACAACTCTGTTTAAAAGAAATTAGATTTACTTTGGGTAATTTTCAATATCAGATGATTATGTGTTATAAAATATTAACATTTATTCGCGGTTTTTATTATTTATTATTTAATCTATTTCAATCTTCGAAGAAATTTAGCAAAAGAGATACCTGTATTTCTTTCTAACGAATAAAAAAAAAGTTCGTTCTCTAATTGAACAATAATTCGAACGTCGAAAAAAAAAAAGAAAACATAGCCATCTTCAAACCGGAAGAAGATCATCGTGTTCTTTCATTTCCACCGTCCTTCACGGTCGCAACGGGCGGAAATGGCTCCGTATTTTTTAATAATGAACACATCCTCTCTGAACTGACGTCTCAACGGCGGAAATAGACGCTCGACCTCTTTCCGGTTTTTTTCAGACGGCAAAGTACACACGATTCAGTACTGTTTTCGAGTCGGCGCGCGCTTCCCTCCTTCCAGCTTTTATACCTTTGTACAATTTCTGTGTCTCGTTGTCCTTTCAACGTGATGTGACGCACGTTTCATCAACACGAACGGCTGTTAAGCCGAAATCGACGGCAAAGCTTAATCGGCAAAGCTGGCGCGCACGATGTCGTCGCCCTCTTTTCACGTCGCCTGTGTGTCCTTTGCCACCTGGACGACGATATTTCGAGTGAAACGTCGAGGCCAGGGAGGGTGTTCAAAGTTCGAAACGAAACGAACGAAATTCGAAGGGATTCGGAGATCTTTGAAGAGTGAGCTTCCTCGATGGAAGGAAATCCTTCTGATGAGGATTAAAGGGAGGTTTTTTTTTTCTCTCAGTCGGAGGAGGAAGATAAGTGCGATGCGAAGGGTTGAATGAACGCTATAAGGAGATGAGAACGAAGAAAACAGCATCGTGAAAGCAGGAATGTGTTTATATCAATTTCCAAGTTATAATAGGATTTAAATATTTTCCTCGAAATCATATAATTCTCTTTGTCTTAAAATTTTTCAGATATTTTTATTATCAACTTCATATGTTTTGTTGATCTTTTATATATATAATAATAGAAGAGTTATAATTTGAATATTCATAATCGTAAAAATTATTTTCATTTATGAAGTTTTACGTTATCTAATCATCTAAGATTTGAAATATTTTCGAAATTATTAATCGTACAATTGTGCAAACTATCCTTTGAAATCGTAAATTAATCTACGCACATTATGAGTAATAAAAAAATTTCTGTATTACATATATCGATAGAATTCTCTGTGCTAATGCATCGAGAGATTTAGTTACGAATCGTCTTTTTTGGATTAAAGAAACGAAAATAAATCGTTTCCTTCCAAATTGATCAATCGTTAACCCCATTCCTTCCAATAGTGGACAGCAGCACGTTCGTTCTCACCTTCGTATCGAAAAATACGAAGAGGAAGTATAAAATTATTTAAAACGCAACTTTCATAAGGGGTTGAATAAAAATCGCTTTTGAAATCTGTTTAAAAAAACGAATATATAAAAAAAAAAAATAAAATCTCTTCCTCTCAAATGACGTAATTGCGTTTAATCCAAAAATTCTCCTTTCTTTTTTTTTTTTTTACATTTCATCCCCTGTGCATTTATAACCGCGAAAGGGTTGGTTTCAATTAAAAAGTCGAACCGTGCCACGAGAGAAGTTTAAACGTTTATTTGCCCGACGCGCGTGGAAGTTTCATCGGCATAAACAATTCCCCGAAACGGTCCGCGATGTTGGATGGAAAAGAGGGGGGAGGAGAGGAAGGGAAAAAGGAGAGAAAGAAGCGAAGAACTTGAAACTTCATTTTTCGCGGCGCGAGACTTTCGTCGGTGCCTTTCCCATAAACAGCCCTCGAGGCACCCTCCTCTCGGGGGAAAAATGCCGCCACCACCGCCCCATCCACTCGAATCCACCCGCCCCTATCCTCCTCTCCTCCCCGTTATTCGTAAATTCGTGGCACGCATCGCCACGATACGCAAAGATTAAAAGGCACGCCGGATATTCAATTGTTTCGTAATCGAAGCAACGATTTAAATATATAGTTTTTATAGTGAATTAAATATATAGTTTATAGATCGGTGATTCCTTTCATTCCATATTTTTTTCTTTTTCTTTAATTTTCTTCCCTCTCGAATCGAATTAAGCGAGGTATTATATCATTTTCGCAATGTTCGAGAGAAATTGGCTGGAATATTTATTTTTCGTACGAATTTGAAAAATTGTATTTTTGTTTTTTTTTCGATTATAGATTTCCATTTCCTTTCTTTATCCCGACAAATTTATCAAAACGATTGATCTTTTCGAATATATAATTCATATAATTTTCTTCAATTTTTGATCTCTCTGCGAATTCGAGAAAACCATTCGTAAACTTCGAAATTACACGTGGAATTACCAGGTATCCTATATAAACCAAATTCGAAACAAATTCCCCTTGTGCATTAATCCAACGATTTCCTAGAGCTCGAAATAGAAAGAAGTAAATAATCGCGATTATCGTAAAAAGGGATTTCCCGCCAATTTCGAATCGATAACCGTTCGTTCACCGTCCCACCTGGAAAA